GAGAGAGAGAGAGAGAGAGAGAGAGAGAGAGAGAGAGAGAGAGAGAGGGAGAGAGGGAGAGAGGGAGAGAGAGAGACAGAGAGACAGAGAGAGTGAGACAGACAGAGAAAGAGAGAGAGAGTCGGTGGGGAATGCATATGAAAGCATGATACACACACAGGAACGTGGGTGGGGTGGTTTCTGCGTCGAATCACAATGCCTTCTTAAGCTTGGCGGACACCTTCTACTGTATTGCTATTGAATACAAACCGGGAAGTTGCAATGGACAGTCGAACATTGCACAATCTCCAACAACCAAAGGACAAAGCTCCCAAAAGCTTCGTGTCCTATCTTGAGGGGTCTCTACACCCACCTCCGTCACCGACGACTACATATGGTAGCGACACAGCTTTGATACTATTATAGAGCTCTGACGGAGGAAACATAGCCATGATTCATACGATACGAAGGCATCAAGCTTGGGAACCTTCTACTACTGCATCTCTCGAGTAAAGAGGCACACCACATCATGTGCACACATAGGTCGCATTTGTGCACGCAACACAAGAGCATCGTTTCCATGTCTATCTCTGATGAACACGCATATTGTTTAGGGCCTGTTGGGATGAGGCGATAACCGAATCTTCAACGAGGCCCTGGCGACAAAAAAACATTTCCTTCCAGGTGACGTCCCGAGGACATCGGAGGGCCCCGAAGAGATTCGTATCGAACGTTGTTCCTAGGCTTCTCCTGAGAGCGAGCTGCGAGATGAGACACTGCTGTACGCTTTCGGGATCCATCGACGCACGCACCGGGTGGTTCATGACGTTAGCCGACACCAGGTCTTCGGCCGTTTCAGCGAGGCCGTCCGGTATCTCGTCGTCCTGGCTAACCTCCAACAGCTTCTGGAAAACACCCCTCATGGTCGCCACCTTTTGAGAAAGGACAACGGGGAAAACGAATGCGCCCATGACTCATGACTACTACCCTGAGGTAGGCAGGAAGGCTAACAAACAGACGGACGGAGGGAAGGAAGGAGCCCTACTCCACGATTCATGATGACTCTCTGTTTCCCATTCCAAGCGATCTGAGCCAAGACATTTGTTGGTCGAACCCCCCTACCACTCCCGAGTACCCGGCCCACTCTCACTGCTGCTCGCGGGTGCGCATGTGTCTTGAGCGAGTGCGAGGGAGGGGGTGGCTCTTCAACCACCGCAATAGATTGCGTGAAACGTTCCCCACCAGTTCGAGGCAGTTTCGAGGCATCCCAGCAGCTCAAACGTTTCGTGTTGAATGCAAGAGGTACATCTGTTTGCACGTTCGCGTTTACACACGGTGTGCCCAGAGAGAGGCGCTCGTTGCACGTTACACGCATAAAAAAACAAGCAGCACGGTGAGGACTGCATAACGTTGACTGGTAGACTCTGTTCGACGAGACATTCGGAAAAGCAGGTTGTGCTTGACTCTTGGCTTTGCGGTCAAAGTGCCTGCGATTGATCGATCCCGCAGCCCCCAAGTATTGGGAAGGCAATCTACGTACTGCTGTTTACCCTATGCTTGCCCCGGACCCGGTGACACATACGTACACCAACAAGGAGCGTGACACCTATACTTATAAGGAGGCAAGTGGTTTGGTGTCTTCGGTCCCTACGCCTATTCTCTCCGTCTGTCTGTCTGTCTCTCCCTTCCTCTAGACATACGCCGCCGCCGGGGTGGATACATCGGTTGGCCTCTCTTCGGGTAGAGTCACCTGCCGTCGGGTAGCGTCACCAGTCGTGTTTGCCCCGGGAGCTACTCTACCCTTGTGTCGGCGCTGCTGCCGCTGCCAACATTGCCTGACGCTGCCGGTTCAAAATTCCATTTGTCTACAGTACAGTCGACCCCGCTTGAAGGACGCTCGCGATAAGGAAACTCCCCGCTTAAAGGAAACTTGTTTTGCTGAGCACCGGGGGCCCGGCCGAATATACGATCATGGGGTACCCCCATTTTTCTGCCGCGTACCCCCCTGTTGTTGTGTCCTGCGGGCCTGCGGGCCGCTCTTTGCACGAACCACGCACCACAGTGAGTGCAGAAGTAGCCGGCGGTCTTCTGCTGCAGCTGCAATTGGGTGTTGGCATANAAACTCCCCGCTTAAAGGAAACTTGTTTTGCTGAGCACCGGGGGCCCGGCCGAATATACGATCATGGGGTACCCCCATTTTTCTGCCGCGTACCCCCCTGTTGTTGTGTCCTGCGGGCCTGCGGGCCGCTCTTTGCACGAACCACGCACCACAGTGAGTGCAGAAGTAGCCGGCGGTCTTCTGCTGCAGCTGCAATTGGGTGTTGGCATAGATAGATTCCTCCCATCTACCGGCGGTCCATCTGATGCCGCCAAAAAAAGAGTCGTGCATAACCTCGTCCCTCACCGAGGGCGAGGTTACCTCTCGCTTAGAGAACGTTCGATCCTACAGATAGCGCCCGCAGTTAAGAAAGGTCAAAATCGGTTCGAGCCTCACCAATCCCTTCTTTTGGGTCGAAGTACCGACCCAAGTCGTCCATTTCGTAAATGTCATTTCTTCCTTTGGACTGTCGCATCCTCCCGGTTATTCTTATTCCTTAGGCAAAAACAAGTACGTCGTATTTTTTTTTCTGTCTTTTGATCTCTGAGGACAATCCACATCATCAAGCCCTCAAGAGAGGTGGTGGAGAGTGCCAGCAAACCCGTACAACAGCGGAGAGCATGTGGTTGTCCGCGATGTATGGCAGCACTACAGTACAGCACTCACTGTGAACAGCAGGGGCGCGGGGGGGCGGGGGGGGGCNAATCCCTTCTTTTGGGTCGAAGTACCGACCCAAGTCGTCCATTTCGTAAATGTCATTTCTTCCTTTGGACTGTCGCATCCTCCCGGTTATTCTTATTCCTTAGGCAAAAACAAGTACGTCGTATTTTTTTTTCTGTCTTTTGATCTCTGAGGACAATCCACATCATCAAGCCCTCAAGAGAGGTGGTGGAGAGTGCCAGCAAACCCGTACAACAGCGGAGAGCATGTGGTTGTCCGCGATGTATGGCAGCACTACAGTACAGCACTCACTGTGAACAGCAGGGGCGCGGGGGGGCGGGGGGGGGCGGGGACTCTGCCCCCTACAAAAAAATGCACTTCTGTTCAGCTTGGGAGGGGGGTGGAAGCACCGCAGATTCCTGGTGTCATGGGGATATCGCACCATCACGTTTCTTATTGGGGCGTTTCTTGCGTTGTGGCCGAGATTGAGCTATGTTTCTGAAATAGCCCTTGTTGCTTATTTTTCGTACAGAGTTGAGCCTTTTTTGTTACAGAATTTTTCTTAACTGCGGGCGCTATCTGTTTTCGTACGCGAAGGGAAAGGGTGGCGAGTACCGTGAGACGCAGTACCTTCTTTCGAAGACCGTTCATTCGTTTACTCATGGAACTCAACAGAGCCGTAGAGCCAAGCCGCGGGGGGAGGTTCAGGGAACTCTTCGCGACATGTGGAAGGAAAAGCCATCAGGGTAGCTGTTAGTCTCCGCCGGGACAGAGGTATGTACTGGTGTTCCTCGGTGCGACGCTGAAACACGCTCGTTTTTTTTTTGTTTCACAAGAATGAGATATATATATATATATGTCTGCTTGGACTCACCTCCTTCTTCCGCTGCCGGCCATGCAGTACATTAGTTGGCCATGTACAAACTGGTACCGTAGTTGATTTCAACACGTCCCCGACTGCTGTACATCTCATTTCAAGTATTGTAAATATGTTCGACGTCAACAAACGGTTGCCAGTCGTCTCGGCGATGCTGACTTTTCGTACCACCCCCTTCCTTAGCAAAAGACGCGTAGTTTGAGGTATAGCATGCCTTCATTGGCCCCGGGAATGGTGAGCTGTCGTCCCCTGAATTAGAAGGACACAACCCCGCTTTAAGGACGCTTCTTTCAGGAAAAACAATGTGCGTCCTTAAAGCGGGGTCGACTGTACTTACTCACCATCTTAAAGTCTGTCATGTTGCAGCAGGCGGTTGCTATCGAGTACGAGCCGCAAAGCCCCCCCCCATGCATTGCAAATATAAATATCTACCGGTGTGCATGTGATGGATGCACTTCGCATTCCAAAGTCTCCAAGACTGCTGTACACCACGGCCGCATCTTGCGGACTGGTAAAAATCTGGTAAACATGCATGCACCAGGAGGAGGTGCGCCAGTTGTTTAGGCGTCGTTTCAACAACGACAGCGCGGCCTTTCTTTCGCAACCCACCATTCAGGATCGCAGCCAGCAACCAGGCAATGGCATTCACACCACTGCTGTAAGCACAACAAACCACACAGAGGTGGGTGGCCTCTTCTACGAGCCCGTGCTACGTATCACACGAGGCGAAGGAGCTCCGGGAACAAAATACAAATTCGTCGTTTTTCAAGTTTTGAAAAAGTTGAGTTGAAATATAAATAAGGCCGCCTGCTGTGACTCAATCAGCACGCCGTCACCGTTCTGCTTGGCAAATCAACACGACGTACGATCGGCCACAAATCGAATCGCTCTCACCTTGCTTCCGGGACCCCCGTGAGAGGAGGAAAGGCGGTCCTGAAACGAGGATCTCCTCCCTTTGCTGGTGCTGGTGCTGGTGCTGCCGGCAGCATTTCCAGCATCGTCCGCCGCCGCCGAGCTCGGCCTAGGCTGGCCATGGCTGCTGGATTGCTCTTGCTCGCTGCTGCTGGCTTGCTGTCGAGACATGCCAGCCACAGCAGCAGCCCGTCCGGATGATAATCTATACCTCTCTCTCTGTCCCTCCCCGCACAACTAGACACAACAGCTCTCGCGTTGGTTTTTTCCGTGCTGCGTTTCGACAGCTGTGCAAGAGGGTGCGTCGGCGTTGGCAGTTGCACTGTTCTGAGGTTGCTTTGGAATCTTATTGTGGTCCAAGAGACGAATCTGGACAGAGACCGTAGCACTGGCCTGTGGCGTGACGGATGCACGCGAGTGCAAGAGGGCGAACGAGAGCACCGCGCCGCCGCAACGCTGTAGTGAGAGTTTGGCTGCTGGCTGCGACGTCGGTTGCTCGATTCAATTTGAAAAGGGGACACGCAAAGTGCAAGGTGGCGGTTGGGATTTGATATCACGGAGCCACCCCGCCTCTCCGATACAACCTTGGGTGCACACAGCAACTGCAACGCTCCAACAGTTGCCTCTCGCTCACAAACAGAAAGGGGAAGCCCCTATCCCACGAGGGACAAGGTGTTGATGTCGTCATCGAAAAAACGGAAAGCCCCGGATGCTTCTCCTCCCGCAAATTCTTCCACCGGTCCGGCTGCTGCTGCTGCTGCGGCTGCCCCGGATGCCGCTGCTGCTGCTGTGACGGAGAAGCCGTTGGTTCGGGCCACTCAGCAGGGACTGAAGGAGATGCGGTACAGGATCAGCACCGTGGTGGATGAGACGACAAAGAAGAGCCTGGCTGGGAAGAAGAGCGGAAGCAGCGCCGACGCCGCCGTCGTCGCGCCAACACAAGGCGCGGCGACGACGGCCTACCTCAAGGCCTTCCAGGCGGCCGTCGCCGACAAGGTGCGGGACCTCTGCGAGGTGCAGGACGCCCGCGAGTCCCGGGAGGAGGACGAGCTCGTCGGGGAGATCTTCCAGTTTAGCCATGACCTCAGGGCCGCGAGGAGCAGGCTCTACGACACGCGCTCGCGCGTCTCGCGCCTGGCGGTAGACACCTGCAGGGACGCCCTGCGCGTCTCCAAGGCTGCCGACGACCGCGCCTGCGCCGTCCTGGAGGCCAGCACCGCGCACGCGCGCAGGGAGAGCGAGACGGGCGGGCCTCTGCCGCTCCGGATCGACGATGCCGCCAGCAACGGCGGTGGCGGTAGCGATGACGATGATCTCGAGAACGGCGGCAGCCGCAGCGGGGGTGGTATCTTCCAGGGCCTGGAGACAGGGGTCGTGGAGCCCAAGGTCTCGGCCCTTATCGGGAAGTTGGCGGAGCTGCCCGGGCCGCTCAAGTCCGTCCTGCAGGAGATCCCCGAGCTGACGGCCTCGCTCGCCGTCTCGGTCCAGGAGGCGGAGGCCGCCATCAAGGCAGGGCAGAGCAGAACGGAGGCGCTGCTGGGCAAGGCGCCGCCGACGCCGCTGTCCAGCAAGAAGGGGAAGGGGGCGGCGGGGCCGGGGGCCGCGGGGGCGAACGTGGTAGAGGACGAGCGATACCCGCCGGAGGACGCACGGGCGGCGGCGAGGGAGGCAAGGGTCCAGCAAGCGCGGAAGGAGTGGGAGGCGATCGGAGTCGGGGTGGTGGGCGGTATCTTCAACTAACCGGTCGGTTGGTTGGTTGGAAGAACGAAAAGGGGGAGGGAGAACGCTTGCGATGGTTTTCCTGAACAGCTGGGCTTCTTTTGGGACGGGAGCAGACTGCTGCTTCTATCGGAGGGTCGGCACGCCGGCCCTCTCTTACGCACGGTCGGTGTCGTAGCGCTGTTTTTGTGTTTGTTGTTGTGTCGTCAGTAGATGCTCGAGCTCTTCCAACTGCTGCCCTCCAATAAATGGACAGGTTGGTTGACTCCAGCTATCTTGCGCTCGGGTGAAGTTTGCTTCTTGTCAGAGTCGCCCGGTGTTCTCACAGCTGCTCGCATTATCGTTTCCTCTGCACGGAACTGAAGTGTTTTGGCCTGTGCACGGCATTTGCGGGCAGGGTGCGCGCATAGTTGTTGCTGCGACGTTGATCCTCCTGTTGCACTCTTCGATATGTCGTATGTCGGCTCTTTCGTCCTAGTGATCGTTCAAGTAGTGGCCTCAGCTTGAGACTTGGAGCGTTGAGAGCGTATCTGACATCCTGGCACTGGCTTTGAACGGACATGTTTGCTTTCTTGCCCTTATTCGTGGCGTAATGTGTTCTTACACTTGGGACGTGATTTGCGATGTATTTTTCTCGGCATTTTCTTTTGTTGGCCTGCCCTAAATGACATGGATTGTGCTCGTCACGAAACAAGTATTACCAAGGCGGCTGTTTTTCGTAACGTGTGCCCACCCGCATCATCTGGTGTATTAATATCCAACCGGTCCGTCTAATGGTCAACAACGTGTGAGACCGGGCGGGTTTTGACTCTGGTGATGCTACAGTACTGGAGGCGGAGTACGAAGGCAGAGTAGCGTAAGAAGAGTTCCTTTGTACCAACCGTGTCTTCCGAAGCGTTGTGTGTTGAAAAAGGCTAGAGGAGTCCACCTGTATGTCTTGTTGAAATGAAGAGCCCACCGAAAGTTGACTTCGTTTCCCGTTAGTCGCTCCACTCGACGTTAGGACTCTGTTGATCCCATCAAGTTGACACGCAGACGTTGTTGGTCCTGCCGGCGTTTTTCTTTCGCCTTTGAAGGCACTTATATTCCTGTTGGTTCGAAGGTCGAGACATGGCGTATTTGCGTTCGAGAGAGTAATGATCGAGCTCCGTTTTGAACGCACGAAATGTGCGCGCGGGGGGTTGTTGTTGCTGTCTGGAGATCGTCTATCGGGTGTACCTGGTTTTGATTTGCGATGGACGTGTGGTCTTGGTGTGTTGATGTGCACCGCACCGGCGAAACCTTGTCGCGGCGTTAGCTGGTTCTGGCGCCTTGCCCGAATACGGCAAACTTTTTTGTTTTTGTTTTTGGAATGCAGGACTGCTGCCTGTAGCTATTGTTTGCGGTAGATTCGGAACGAGACGGATAGGGCGTTGTATGATAGACCTTCTGGTTATTTTCGGTCTGATTTTTTCCTTGTTTTTCTTTTTTTTTCGTCGGGGATTGGCTTCGTTGGTTGGTCAACGCGCGACTGCTGTGTCCTTGTACATGGACAGGACCACCGCTGTATGGAAAGCACGGTCAAGATGTGCGACCTCTATCAATTGGTCGTTGTAGAGAGGTCGCGGGTTTTGATAGCGTTCCGGGCCATGTAAAAAATCTAGAGTCCTTCCTGCATTAGCATATTTTACGAGTGTCTGTACATGTACCAGATATGTTTTATGCATCTTGGGGTTGACCTCTTCAACTTTTTGTCGCGCGCTGCCTTTCGCCGTGCGCACATGCTTGTTTGATAATCTCAAGATGGTCCCAGCAGCAAGGAATGGAATGACTCCTGCTCCTGTCCTAAACGCGCTACCGCTAAAAGAAGCTATTTTTTGGGCAACCGTCGCGGCCTTTTTATTCCTCTGTGAGAAAAACTCAAGTTATTGCAAGTTCTTTGGTGGCGCGTATTGGTAAGTCCTAGGCACCCATTTTCCTGAAGCCCCTTCCAGATTTTTTTGTGATTGATTCGATTGCAGAAATAGGCTGAACGGTGCGGGTTGCAAACAAAAGAACAAACATCACACGGCTACACGTTTTTTTTTGTGGAGGAAACTATTGCACGGGTTTCAGGTTCGCTCTGACGAAAAATATTCCAATACAAAGCATGACCTAGAAAAATGAAAAATGGCCTCGTAAGGGTCGGATCGAAAGCTCCCAAAAACATGATGTTGAGCAGCATACCACACGTACAAACGCAAATGCTTCTCATCACCGACATCCATCCTTGGTGTACCATTGACAACCCACGAGGGTCTGTGAGCAAATGGCAACAACACAAATCTATTCCCGCAATCCTTGTTCGTGGTGCTTTCTGTAAGCTTTTGGGTAGTTGGCACCTTTGACCACGGAAGGCGTCCTGCATCCGTTGGACAGGTACTTCACGATTGATGCTGAGTGGAGACGGGTAAACACGAACAACATCAACGAGCCTACACGATAATCAAAGAGTAAGACTTGCAGCGCGTGGGCATTACGACTATTTATGAATACAACTTAGAAAATATACAATGAACACAGAAAGACTACTTGTATACCATATGACACAAGATAACACACCCCCTGGACTAATTTTCAAAGCTCGATTATGCGAAAATGAAGAGGATACATAAATGAAACAATACATTTTCGGAAAGCTCTAGACGATACACCTTCAACTCCACCGTTTTCCGCACTGTAACTCTTGCTGCTGCCGAGCAATCGAGATTTGAAAATCGGTCCAGGGGATGTGTTGTCTTGTGTCATCTACGGTACTCGTTCGAGATGTATAACCAACCACTGAGTGGAATGTGTGTGTGTTTTCGTCCTATTTATTATGGCGACAGCCCCCCCATTTTTCGTGGTGAGACGTGTACAACACTTTTCAGCGTATGCAGAGTACTTCACTTTTTCAGTGTATTTTTTCGTAAAACTACAACCATCCAGGGTCACACAGGAGGGGGTAAACACCAGGGCTTTTTTCTTCTTTTTATTTCTTTTCATGCCCCATCTTCCACCGGCGGTTGTTGTTGTTGTTGTTGTTGTCTTCACATTAAAAACCATCCCGGTCTCTCTATCCAGTACCTCCTTCTGTCGGAATATCTCGGTACTATTCCAGCACTTGACTCGGTCAATTTCCGTGGTCACAGGCTAACGTACCTAGAAAAGGTATACCAAAAGAAAATGGACCCCAAGGGTTAGTTAGCAGAGCGATAAAATACGGTGCGTGCTGATTTTTTTTTTTTTATCGCGAGAAAGGGTCCAGCCGTCCCTTTCCCTCGTCAACGGTGCTAACGTCGAAGTTACTCACGACGAGAGCTTTTAAGACATATTTCGCTTTCACCCGCAAATTCCGTAAATTTTTCACCCCACGGGGATTCGAACTCACGACCTCTGCGACTGGTGGATTACGAGGATACCACTGGGGCAGGAACCGGCTGAATTTGCCTTTCCTTCTAGAGCTCAATGCAAGCCCTATTGGAGTCCGGATTTCATGGAGCTGGCGGATTTGTGTGCAGGTCTCGATTAATTGGTCAGATATGCCCTTGGCGCGAGCGGGTGTGAGGGGGGCGCGCACCGCTCTAGAGTCAACTTTCCCGCCTGGTGCGGGGACATCATAACCAACCGTTGTTGTGTCAGTTTCCTACAAGATGTGAGAGCTTTTTCTAAGGAAAAGGAAATACACACACAGAAAGACTACCCTTTCGAGATATATCCAAACAGTACGGGGGCAGTTGGCTTGTGACCACGGAAGGCGTCCGCGTCAGTTCGACCAGTACGGACACATTAGAAGGTACTGAGTGGAGACCGGAACGGGTTTGAAGACAACAACAATCTTTGAAGAACAACAACAACAACAAGTCGAACGGGATGTAGTGGATTCTTTTTTGATAGATCGAATATCATGCGCGAACGACCTTCATCAGCCACAGCAGTGCATCAAATAACGCAACGTTCCGTTCGAGTGAGTGTGGGGATCAAGGGATCAAGACAGCGAAATAATGAGGGGAGAGAGAGAGAGAGAGAGAGAGGGAGAGAGAGAGAGCGGAGACGATGCGACGATGCGGTGCGGTAGGTTTCGTTTCGGCGGCGAGTCCCCTCCGAAAGAATGAGGCACCTATCCGCATTCCTCGGAGCCCCCGCCGGCGAAGCTGTCTGCGTGCGCGTCTGGCAGCTCGTGGGTTTGCGTTGCTTTCTCTCAATATCACTCTCTCTACCATGCTTCGCTCTACCTTCGTAGTCCTCCTCGCTAGGAACGCGGTGGGTTTCTCCCCGAATCTGTCAAGCATTGTCGGCTTTGACGGCGGGATGGGAGCCAGAAATAGCAGGAATTTCGTCAGCGCGACTCGGCCTGCTGGATCTACTGCGCTGTTCGCCTCAGGGTAAGCACGAAGGTCGCCAGCGCGATTGCTTGACCTTCTCCTCATTGCGTTGAGGATGAAGTGAAGTGTATCATTGGCTCTACTGCTGCGGTGTGTGATGTGCACGTAGGTGGGAAATGGGCACACACTTTGCACTCAAAAGTTTGAATCCTCGGGGGCGTTTCCTGCTTCCTGCTCTGACTACCCCCCACCCTTTGACACGACCCGTTGTGCTCGCTGCTGTACGCGGCTGCAGCGCTGCAGCCCTTGATCTCTCTATGCGTACGCTGGTTTACGTAATGCTGAAAGCCTCCACATTGGTTGGTTCCATTGCGTCGAAGTGCTTTATGCCTGACTCGACCGCAGTGCTTTGTGCAAAGCCCAGTCAGAGTATCCTGCCGATGACCGCTCTCACCTTTGTGCAACCGCACCCCGCTGCTTGTGCATCCTTTACAATGGATATCCGGCGTACGACATGTACGCAGGAGGGGGTCCAACCCCCCCCTCTTAATGTGACCCCGGTTGGGTCGTCTAGCTGGTAGAAGTGGAGGATAGGGGCCAGAGGGGCAGACGACAGAGTCCAATAATGGAGACAAAAAAATAAAAATGTATTATGTAGTTGTACTGCGGTACCATAGTCGTCCACGAAGTCTTGGAACGAGCATAATAAACCCGCCAACTGTGTCAACAGTAAGCCGCTGCATGTAGCTGCTGTCCGATCCCATGCTCCCGTTCCCAATTTTTATATTGTCATGCGTGTAGTCTACAGTTCCAGTGGTACAACAGTACCTCCGACACGGCAGCCCGTAATCTGCAATACGACCACCTTTTGCGCGCGTTTCCCTCCGCAAAAACAACTGTGTGCGCTGCGTATGTAAATGCATGAGCGCAGCCCAGAGCATCGCATGCTCCTAGTACTATCGCATGCTTCCCATGCCTGTCGCTTGGTATTCCCCACTGTTCGAGGGGCTACATATCACTGCCTATGACAAGAACACGCAATGCCGTCTGCGCTGACTCCTTTGGTCTACTCAAGGGGATAGCCCCATACCTAACATATCCCCTGCTGACACCTCCGCCACACGCTCTTCTCCACGGAAAAACACCGTTGGCAAGATGGGAAGGCGGGTTCTTGCCTGGGAAATCCGGCGTTAAACCCGTTCACGTTAATTTTTACCTGATGCAAAAATGGTATGACAGATATGGCGGAATTTCTTCCGTTCTCCCTCACCGAGATTCCACCCCACACTACGTCGTCCTTTGTCGCACTGCAGTCGGTGTTGTGGGCATGGTCCGCTTCCTCCCTTCCCCTCGGCATCATGTCACGCCTGAAACACGTCATGCCTGACCTACCGTTGGCTGATGGGAACGCTTCACTCCCTAAGTAACCGTTTTCCATGCCAAACACGCCGAATACATGCATGCAGTCACCGTGGACGCAACATCAGACAATTCAAACCCTCTCTACTACCTCGCAATTCCTTCGCACCATATGCATTGAGCACAAAAATGGTTGCGAATGACAGCCGATGGTGTGCGTGGGCTACTCAACAAATACTTCCGTGCATGCACACGGGGGGGCGGCAAACGATACCGTCTCCTCGGGGTCTGTATTATAATCCCACGCATCGCTTCACCAAGAGGTAAGCAAGCAAGCGCAGGGGCGGGATTCAGTCACGAAAGATGACAGGCACGACCGCAAGGAGGGCTTGCACACACACTGTCAGGTAAAAGCAGCATCAATCCCCTGGGCCAAAGCAGTAGTCATCACCACAGCTGACAACTTTGGCCTACAGGGGGTATTGCCCCTCCGACCAATCAAACACCAACGTGTTGTTCGGGGCTCGATTCCCACACCACTTTCCTCCGCCAACATCTTGCCATTTTTTTTTTGCCCTTGTGCCACGCGATTTTGTAGAGGGGTGTCCGCAGAGGATGTGCTGAAGGCACCCAAGTGGCCGGAGAAGTGGCCCTTCTATGAGGATGACTTCAGCCGCATGGACGAGTCCAGCGACGGGGATTTCTACTCGCAGCCGCGGCTCGTCTACCACATCGGTAGGCATCTTTCCCTGTGTTGTATATACTTTTTCTGTTTTTGGAATGCTTCAATCCAGGCATGTTGAGGGCTCGTCTTCCACATCGGTCAGTTTTTATTTTCTTTTCTTTCCTTTCGTTGTTTTTCTGCGGTATGCCATGAATCAGGCAGCGTTGTTGTTGACGCACATCGGTCAGTTTTTTTGTTGTCTTTCATTTGTCTCTGCTGTACCAGTATGCGGTAAATCGTCCCAACAATGTTGTTGAAGCACGCTACGTCAGTTTTTTTGTCTGTGTGGAAAATATATCACAGCACAGAGGAACTCTGCAGTTGTTCAGCCGGTTTTCTCTCTTTCCTACTTGGAAGGAGGGGTGCAGAGTAGTTCCTGGTTGAAATGTCAATTTTCATCACTTTTTTTTTTTTCCTTCCTTGTGTGCAGAGTACCCGTCGAGCCAGCATGGTTTGATCGGGAGGGTGGAAGGCAACCCCCTGTTGCGTGGTCGTGCTCTTGCTGTTTCTTTGGCACATGCATTTGTAACCCCCTAGAATATTTGTGCTCTTCGACTCTGTACGCTGCTGCTACTGCGAACCATTTGTTGGCATTGAATGCCTGTTCGTCAAGATGATTCCGCGGTGAAGGCGTTGACGAAGTACTACACCAAGGCGCTGCCCAAGGGGGCGGACGTGCTGGACATCTGCTCGTCGTGGGTGAGCCACTTCCCGAAGGACTGGGAGCACGGCAAGCGCACCGGGTGGGTCTGGATTGCTCTGTACCCTCTAGGGTTGCTTGAATAGTCGAGTTTATCGTTTTCTCCGCTTCCAGTATGGGACGTTGGACGTTTTGCGAGACGCGCACAGGGTGGGCTTAGATTTTATTACCCTAAATTAACGTTGCTTCACCCCGTAGTGATTCCAGATAGCTACAGGTTGTAGCCCCCGTGTTGCAAGTCCCAGGAAAAGCAAAAAAAATATGACAATGGGGCTCCGCGAAAATCGATGGTACCCCGCGTAAGCCCCCATAATCGGTTGCCCACCGCACCATCTGGTGCACACCTTTGTTACTGCTGGTGCTCGTCACACAGATGGCTACGTGCCATGAAACCTGCAGGACTCCTCAAGTATGTTGTGTTCTTACCCGCAGACATTTGGTTTGGCCTGGATTCGCTCTGAACCTGGCAAATGCCGTGCTATCAAAAGTGAGAGAGCTGCTGCTTCAAGCCCGTTCCGCAGCTCTCAGCACCGAACGTCACGCTGCTACCCGCGGGCAAAGGAGTTGACGAACTCGCTCGAGAGTTCGCGAGGGTGCATTATATAGGCGTAGGTAGCATTGATGGGTTGGCCAAATTTGGGATCGCCACCACGAGAGTCGTTCCAGTGAAGCACTCTATCGCCTATACGTCGTTCAAACACGCCCAAAACGTCTCCCTCCAATTCTACTGGAATTCTCCGGCAAGTTCCCCCGCAATTCGACCTTCAACGCTCTATCCGCGCTCAAAAAACGATCCGGTTCAGTTTTTTTCGGCACCACGCTGCAATACATGCCTAAGGTTGCTTTCGAAGTTTGGCCACTTTTTGGATCGCTACTACAGCCGGAGTTGATGACGAATAACGGCCTGTCCCATAGGAATCCGGCCGCTGTGAGGGCTCCGCGTGATCGATGCCTTGTCGTATTAAAAAAAAATCGCTTTTTGTGGAGACTTGCAACACGGGTGGTAGGTCCAGACAACAATCGTATCCGCTCCTTGGTAGACGCGATACACACCCGAAGGACGAAGGCTGACTTGGCTCTTGACGTAACAATGCCCCCAAATGCGCTGGGGACACTTACCACACACTGAAGCCAAGGCAACAATTTTATCCAGTTTTGTGCGTAGGCTAGAGTTTTACAAGAAGGGGACACGCGGGCTTGGGAGATGTTTGTTGTAAGTCAGAGGCCGAGGAGAGGCACACAGGCATCAGACTGCAGTACATCACGCAGTGTACCACCTCACACAAGCATGGTTGTCCAAGGGTTCCAATGTGCGTTTCACACAACGGAGCATAGTGACGACTACGGTGCGGTAAACAAACGTTTGAGAGCCTTTTGCCCAAAGCGTCCCCATTCGGGCTTCCAGTACTGCAATGATATGGCAGTCGTTGTCACTGTTTCTCCTCTTGGCGTTTCGGATGATATTCGACACTATTGAGGGCTTGCACCTTACACGTGCCTGCATGTTTGGCCGGGGGACCCTCAACTCGTTCTTTTCGGCGCGGGCCCAACATGCTTCCGTACTGCCTCACATCCACGGCTCTCCGAGCACTAGACTGCTTTTGACCGTGCGCACTCTTGACTGGCACCACACCCGCCCAATCTTGAAAGAAGAAACGCCGTCCAACCTCGAGGGAACCCCCGAACATGGACCGACCGGCCAGCACTCACTTCCTGCCCACTCCGAACGACGCCCGAACGTCGAAAATAAGGCTGGGGATGAACGAGTTCGAGCTGAGCAAGAACGTGCAGCTGGACGAGTACAGGGTTAAGGACCTTAACGTCGATGCGAAGTTTCCTTTTGACGACAACTCCTTTGACGTCGTGACGTGCGTCGTGTCGGTGAGATGCCCCTGTGATTTTTTCTGTCTGTCTGTCTGTCTGTCTGTCTGTCTATCTGTCTGTCTATCTTTCCGTCCTCTGTGGTTCTGGTGCATGGATTCGTTCGTACTATTCCGCGTTCCTGTTCTCCGGTATTTTTATTGTCTTTTTGCGTCGTTTTTTGTTAGTCCCGGTTTGTCGTTGTGGCTGGCGTGTTGGTGAGGAGCAGCTAGCGGTTGCAGCACCAAACAAGACCAAACAAGAACACTTGCTTAGTTTCCACGAGCGCATCCCGCCCCATGCAGTGTTGCGGCGGATGTTGGGTGTGGTACGACAAGTGTATCGATGTCTCGGTGTCCTATCTACACACACCGGTGTTCTGCCTCCTTCCCCCAATTGTGATATTCCCACTTGGTCGACGCCATTTACACGTGAAGGTGGACTACTTGAACAAGCCGCTGGAGGTCTTTAACGAGATCCGACGAGTGCTGAGACCAGGCGGCAAGGCCATCATGTCCATGTCCAACAGGTAACCGCAAGGGCGGTCTTGTTTTCCCACGTGTATTCGCTTAATCCTTGTTTGTGCACACGTCGTACGTTTTCCACTCCATCAGTCCACGACAAACTCGTTTTTTTCACCAGTCGTGCCCGTGTCGGACAGGTGGTGATCCCCCGTCACGGGCATTGCCTTCCAACTAGGTCATTTCCTTCCAACTAGGTCATTTCCTTCCAACTAGGTCACTTCCTTCCAACTAGGTCATTTGCTTTCAACTAGGTCATTTGCTTCCAACTAGGTCACTTCCTTCCAACTAGGTCATTTCCTTCCAACTAGGTCACTTCCTTCCAACTAGGTCATTTGCTTTCAACTAGGTCATTTGCTTCCAACTAGGTCACTTCCTTCCAACTAGGTCATTTCCTTCCAACTAGGTCACTTCCTTCCAACTAGGTCACTTCCTTCCAACTAGGTCATTTCCTTCCAACTAGATCACTTCCTTCCAACTAGGTCATTCCCTTCCAACTAGGTTGTTTGATTGGTCGAACGCCATATTTTGCAGCTCGCGACGTGGTAACTCTCGAGGGAAGAAAGAAATACGCCGCTGATGGGGATGTGGGGCTTCCGTGAGAGTCGAGTTAGGAGTCTGTTGTGCTCGGCCCCTGGATCGAAACTACGTTCGGCATTGACGAGTCCAAAGAACAGGGCTATCGCAAAGAAACATGGTTTCACCGGGAAGAGGCGAGTCAATGGAATGCAGGAGAACTGGTTCACTGGTTGTAATTGTGATCTGCGACTACTTCTCTCGAGGCTTCTGAGGCCACAAAACAGCCTGTACCGTGCACTACCTAACCCCCGCCGAAATATATAAAACGGTAACCCGCTCGGGAATGGACATAGATGTTTCCCGACGAAGGCGATCCAGATCTGGAACCAGACTAACGACATGGAGCACATCTTCATCGTAGGTGAGTTGTTTTGTTTACAGTTGTCGTTGTACTCGTTGGTTGTTGGTGCCGGCACACCGCTCGGTTCCGTGTCGTGTGTAGAGTGAGATACTCTCGAGATTGACTCATTTTTCCCTCACTCACCACACACCCCGATAGTACCTGCCAAGGACGCTCTCGTGTTGCCCTCTAGATACCGACTCTACCCACACCCCCTCCTCTCCCTCTCGTTCCGATGGGATTTTAAATCCACTACAAAGAGATGTACTCTAAGGTAGACTCACGTGTCCCTCACGCACTACACACCCCGACGTCACTGTGAGGAAACTGTTACATTAGTCTGTCGTGTTCCCCTCTCGTAACCGTCTCTATACCCCCTCTCCCGTTCTCGCTGCCGTCCCGTTAGGATCGTACTTCCACTACGCGGGAGGCTTCGACCCGCCGGTCTCGCACGACATCTCGCCAAACCCGGGGCGATCGGACCCCATGTACATCGTAGAGGGCAGAAAAAAGGCATAAGCGCTCAGAAGGGCATGGCACAAACGTTGTGAGACAGCTCGCTACAGCACACCAGAAGAGCTAGAGTGCGGATCTTGGTCGAAATATCATGTGAGCGACCTTGTAGGAGGCGAGCGTCGGGGGCATGGATGCGTGTTGTCCAGCTTTTTTCTAACAAATGTTGGCAGCGAGAAACTTGCTTTTTGAGTTAGATTTTGTGAAGGTTTTGGGATATCAGGGGGACAAGCTCCTTTGCCACGATCTATGTAGAAGCGGAACAGTTGTGGTGTCGTCGTGTGGAGGTGGGAGAGGTAGTAAGCGCCCGCGGGAGGCAACCTCTTGGGAGTGAAAGCCCAGGTCCTACTTCTGATATCGGGTCGCGCAAATGGGGCGGTGTGGCTGTTCATAGAGAGATTTGGCCGTCCTTCTGATGCCGGCAGACTACATACTGGCGTAAGATCGACAGCGTGTTATTGTTGACCCCTGTACAGAACTTGTGCACCTGCTCTGCAACTCTCAAGATATACACGTAGAACGCTGAATGGCTACCGTGAAACGGTGCCATTTGACGTTCAGCTCCCGCCTATTTTGGCGGTTGAAGACAAACGCTCATGTTATTGCAAGAGCAATCTCCCTCAGGAATATCCCTTTGATAGGGGCGATTAATGCCTGTACGACGTCAAGTTCTTGATGGTCTTAAAATGCTTCTGTCTGGCGTACTACGCACATGCATCTAAGCGTAAAAGAGTGGCTAGCCACATCCAACCCCAGGTTGATTTTTGATTTTTTTGGGGCAAACACCTGGAATTTTCAAGCGAGCCTCAAATGCGACAACACCATTTGCACGCTTTCATCGAAAACCGTTGTTTTGTTGTTTCCATCCGCGCATTAAATGGATTGGCCCGGTCGCTGCCCAACCCCTCGTAACGTCCGTACTGGTCCAACTGACCCGGACATCCCGCGGTACAAGCGAACCACCATATCCATTTCACCTACGCATGTAAAGACAATAAATGCGACCTGAAACGTTCAGCGCAACTGTGATTTGAGTTTACGCGAGACAGGGGGCCGCAAAAAGCCAGGTGTCCCACGCGACATTTTGGACGAAGGAAATATCGTAGAAACCTCCCGCCCCCACTCAACACGCGAGGTCAGGCGAAATGGAACACACAAGCCGAGACCGGTACACCTGTACTTCACCCAGCTGTGCGTCATAGCTGCTAAATACACGAGCCACGAGGCACGAGAGAACGGGGCGCGCGCCGCACATCCACGCACACATGACGACAGAAGAGATTTCTGAAGAGGTGTGCGAAAGTGTGCAGTGGTTCTCTTCACGTGGCAAGACTGTATTTCATTATCATCATCCGCCAAGAGATGGACGCAAACGCGAGGGTACCTCTTGACTGATGTACGCATGCATACGCGTAAGTCTGTTGCTGTAGTGGCATGCAGCAAGCGTATCCCATAGACGACGGAAATTATCTCGTGGGCCCCGTCTCGTCGCTAAAACTATACTAAAGCAGCCGCTGTCACCGACAGTCTTCCCAATCAACACCAAAAATATCCAAACCATTGAGCACCGCCCCTATATAGAGGGGAGCAGCACCAAAAGCACGACTGCCGAACGGGTAACGTGGCAACCACGGACACATTTGAGGAGCGCCCTGGAGGGAAACCCGGGGTGTCATTGACACGTTCAAAATTAAAAAGCTTACGCGCATCGAGGCTAAGTATGCAAAAATGACCTGCTACCGCCTTCATTGGAACGAACCGTTTTTTGGTGACGAGGGTCGAATCCGTACGTTCGAACTCCGGCATTCCACCTACATTTGACTGTGCGCGGCGGCGTACAGTTGCTCTCCGACATCAGCATGGCACGGCTTGTTCGTTTTGTGTTGAAAGAAAGACAGACATGGACTCTAGCTGATGACACTATTATTGCTACTGCTGACAACCGTCCGTTAAGGGGATTGCGGTCCGTGGCGGTGAGCACGGCCGCGACAAATGTTGTAGTCTATGCCGCTTGATTCCGGCACAGATTTGGACTGTTTTCAGCGGGTGCAGCGACCTTCGATGTTTCAGCTCCAGCAGCAACCTGAACGTGCCAGCACGCACGACGCCTTTTGATGGTGTCCTCTACTGATGTTAGCACTAATACCAGGTTCCTCAGGCGGGAAGGTTGTTCTCTTTCTTCGTGTTGCAAAATAGCCAGCGTCAAAACCCCTTCAACTGCGGTCCACTACAGCTGTGGTACATACCTCAAGTCACCGACGGTATTGCTGTAGTCCAGGATTTTCGAGACCAGTGTCGACAACATGGCTGGACCAGCCAGCACTCGGAAAGGCACGGCAGTACTAATGTAGGAAAGTCTTCCAAGGGGCATGAGCGCGGTGAAGGAGATGCACCAGTATCACGCATGGGAACTAAATGAGCTGCCGTTTCGGTGGGAACCGGCGTTTGCAGGCATAGTCTGGACTATGTCTTTGCTACAGCTGCGTACCGGGGGGTTCTGTATCGAACTCCGAACTCCGAACCAGGCAATTTGATCCCAGATCCCAGGATCCCAGGTTTGACCAGGTTCCCCTTCCTCTCAAATTCTCTGCCCCAGTAACACACCCCCTTCGACTGCTGCGAGGTAATAGTATCTCGAACAGCAGGTGCATTAGTCTTCTCAGTACCCGGGACCAGCACATCTCTCCTCCCCCTCGAGCCCTCATCTGGGGAACAGCAGCGTCACCCCTCCACGCCCAACTGGACTACGAAACACACCTGTTGGTGAAGGTTGACCTGCGATGATCGCCACTGAAGGTGAGACTATGAGTTGGGTAATATCTGTTATGGAAATGCCTACGCATCTCCTGTCTTGGTCAATGTCCTACTGCTTATGTAGACGAATGACGTACCGGTATGTGTTATCTATGTATCGGTTGGAACGCAACGTATGCGGAGGAACTAATGCTGTAGCTCGTGCTGTCGTTCGGTGCACGACCTCACTCTTCGGGATCTCTCTCTGTGATCTATCGGACTGTCTGGGTACTTTAGTGTGTTGGGACTGGGTCTAGATTCCACCGAAGCGAGAGTCATGCACTTGATCGAGCACTGCTTTCCGTCCAAACCCCAAGTGACCGTACCAGCGAAGCGAGGTTGTGCGCCGAAATACCTCTCAATGCCCAGTAACCGTGAGTGCTTACGAGTAAAGCAAACTATCGCGTATCGTTAACCGAACGGTGAATACGGTCCAGATACACTACTGGCTAAGCGAGCGGAGCCACCGTGCCTCTATGTCCACACACTGCTCAATACCCAATCTCCCAATGAGTGCGTACGAGCGAAACGCAACAGCCACACGTGCATCCGTTGGAGTGCACACGTCCTTGGCAGTCATCTGATCGCGACGAGGCTCGTCCCGGCGATGCCAAGGAGCACTTTCCATTCGAGNGGGGGGGGGGGGGGGGGGGGGGGGGGGGGGGGGGGGGGGGGGGGGGGGGGGGGGGGGGGGGGGGGGGGGGACGGGTTCCGGAAGAAGATACATGGCACCAGAGGCAGAGCTGAGGTTACAAGCGATCGCAGGATCCTTCGTGCTCACCCTATTCACACTTTCACAGCTGTTTCTGATGATTGAGGCAAAATTATTGACTGAGAAGGTGTTCTTGGTCCGTACTTGCATAATGACCGACGACATTTCTTGCCAACACAAAACGAACAAGCCGAGCCATGTTGATCCGGGAAAGCAGCTGCACGCTGCCGCGCTCAGGAACGCAGGTGGAATGCCGGAGTCCGAACGCACAGATTCGGCCCCGCGTCGCCAAGAACAGTTTCAGTGAAGGCGGTAGCAGGTCATCTTTGCATACCGAGATACGTGTAGTATTCTCGGATTTGAAACGAATCCATATTTCGGAAACCGGGAAGAGTCAGATACCCCAAGAAGCATGTTGAAAGTTAATTCTACCTTGTTCAGTCCCCTTTCTCACTCTGGAAAATATTGAGACCATCCCACCCGCCCTACAAATACTTACCCTGTTTAAGGCCTTACTGGTCATTCAAACCCGTTGGGCCTGGGCAAACAGCGAGATGCCCAGGTCCCAAAAGTACCTTTACGACGATGCCTTCCTGCAGGACCCCTCATCCAATCAAATCCAACATTGAATGAACTGGGTAAGGGATAAGATACCGCTGTATTCGGGTAGCACACCTCCACGAGGAGTACAGCAACAGGAGGTGGTGTTGTGTCATCTTATCTTGCATAACGCAGGCACTTATTTCTGAATCCGAGGCTGGATCGACCGTTGCTTGTCCTTCGCGGCTCCCCTGTTACTATACCAACCGTCCTTGTCGTATTTCGGCTAGCTATTGTATATCTAGTGGACGCATTGGTCAGCCAGCCGGTGGGATCATCCCCTCTTTGGGCGAGCATTCCAGCGTGGAATGGTCTTGAGCAACTGTTTCAGTGAAAAGCACAGCAGTGATCCTATCGCTCCGACACACCGGAGTACCTGCATGCACTAAACACCGGCCCATGAAGTTGATCGCCCAGCGAGCAGACGGAGAACATATATTTGCCCCTGTTGCCAACTATTTCTGGATTCCGGTGTCGATCATCATTCGATCAATAATACCCACCTGCAACACCTTGCATATCCTTGCCCGCGTTTGCACCTGCAATTCAAAGTCGGCTCCTTGGCACCATTTTGGTCCGTTCCAAAAAGTGACGCACAGCACCAGCTCGGAACGTGTCATCCAGGAATCACCGCAACATTGAACGTCAAAGAGAGGGTAATGGGATACTCCTCAAGGACGCAGCAATAACATATTCTTTCATTCCTCGCTGCTCGCGGTGCAAAGTAGCATCTCTTCGCAACGAGGATCGGTGGAACATGTTCCAATTCCCTAGTCCACGAAGAAACAATAGGGCAACCGCCCCGGCACTTCTCGCCCTCAACAACGCTACGGGGGATCTACTGGGGTCTCGATACATGTACGCGAAACCTGTAGACGAGCTAAAAAAGGAAGGGCTTCACATATCAATACCGACGGGAAGCGTCGGGGAGGATCTACAGTATGTACACCTCCATACATATACAATTAAAGGCGTGGATTCTGCAGGATCACGCGGATTCAAACGTCTGGGGGATTGCTGAAATCACACCCGCGCAGCCAATAACGGCATGTCGACTCCTTAAGAAACGGCTGTGCTTACCAAGTGTCAACAATAGAAACTTCGGTGAAATCCACGCGGGTGCCAAAAGTCCCTGTCGACATCTACGTGTACCGCGAGCCGCGCATAAAATTTCTTCACATGGAACGCTTTCGTTTTACTCATGCGCCGCATACGATTCACTCCCATATTTCACTCGCTGCGCTTTCTTGTCTCACTCTTATTCATTCGTTGGCCGAACTCATTTTCACTTTTTGCTCATTGTATTCACTCTTCCGCTTCTCTCTTTTGGCTTGATCTTCGGTCATGCGTTCATGAGAGGTCATCGCGTCAGCATGACTCACTCCACAGCTAGTCAGGAGGCGATCGCCAGCTGGCACGACCGCTGCCCGGCGAGGAACGCAGACCAAAGGACCGCTGCGTGGGTGCCACGAAACCCGTGAATGGCCTGCCGTCGAATCGTCGAAGTTAGACGGTGATAACGCGCACGGACGTGGCGGGAAGGAGGCGAGTCCGGAGAGAGATACGGGGGCAGTGGAGGTACGGAGTCAACTTGGACAAAACTGGGAACAAACACTGGTCCCTAGCGTCAGTGAAGAAACACTGGTAGTCATCATGAGATAGTGATACGGGCTTGTTTGGGACGTCCAATGTCGACCAGGTGGCCTACGATCGCAGGTGTGGTAACAAAATCTTCGCCCTCACCCAAGGAGAATGAAACCACCCAATCAACCGCAGTACTCTTCAGAAAGACCGCACAGAAGACATACACTGCGAGCGACAGCAGTTAGTGGACGTAAACTCCGAAAGGGGTAGGTCAGATGGAATGGAAAAGCGACAATGAACTATACGGTTTGCTTAGATCGTGTCAAACCCTTACGCCGAATGAATATTGGCCCCCGTTCTCCTCTGCAGAGGATGCTTGCACTACTTTCAACAAAGTACAACACCACGTGGCACAGTGTATCAACGTTCGATAGTCAACAATAGCCATGGGTGCGTTATAGCAATATTCTAGTCAGGATTAATCGAATACTAGGCAGTGATGACACCGATTTGTTGCAAACAAGAGTAGACAAATATTGCAGAGAAGACCGAGTTTATCGTCACCTTGCGCAAATCCTGTAAGTTACCTGGCACTCGCTGAGCAGGGTGTCATCCGTTCGATGGCTGGCCACAATAGTGACCAACATCAACCTCAGCATCACCACGTCCCCTTTGTCCCCCTCGCCGAGGCCACTCGCGGTAACCTTGGTTGTGCGCACGACGGTCGAGAGCGAGCAAAGGAGGAGGAGAAACGAGGTTGAGCCGCCACCCGAAAGGACGTAAATAGCGCGACTGGTACGCTTACAGGAAAAGTGAGCAGTTTCCACAATTTTTGTCAGCTTCCATCTCTCACTTCCTTATTGTTTCAGGCCGCGATGGGGCTTTTTTCAACAGACAGTTGTTCCACACACGCCCGCCCGCCCGCTGATGGAATTGTTTTGACCAGGCGGTTTGCGCGGTCGGTCGATCACAACTACGATACTCTGTCAAGGAAACAGTACGCACGATGAACTCTCACCGTAGGACCCAGCCATTCCTCCAGCTCCCCGATCTGAGCAGCGCCTCCGTCCCAAGAAGAAACCCAGGACTCCGTGAACGACTTGACGGCGGGAGGCACGAAGGCGTGTGCCAGCAGCTCTGCCTCGGCCGCGAGGAAGGCGAAGGCGGCGGCGATGGTTTCGTCTCCGCCGGTGGCCCATGAGAGCTGCTCGGGAAGCGCCATCGGCGTCTCGTCGGCGCAGCCTCGGAAACCTTTGATGATTGGGTGCACCTGTTCAGGCGTGATATGAACGTGTGCGTGTGTTGGATTGCACGAGTCTAGCGAAAGGTTCGATACAATATGCAGTAGACGTATTGATAGAGATAGCTTTTTCTATAAGCAGAGCGGTCCGGGACATGTTCATCTACGAAAATCGCTCAGAACCATCCGTGGCCAAAAAGAAACTTGGTCCTTGGGAAATTCAGAAAATTAAACCTCTCTGCGGAGCGATTCTGATCTACAAATCGCCTTGAAACTGTTGCGGCAAAGGAATAGGGTCGTCGAGGTGAAGTCGGCCTTCCAAAAACTACAGGTTGGCAACTCCTCCTTCCTTTTGCCGTAACCCGGAGAAAAGAACTGAAAACACAACACACATTATCCACCTATCGTGCTGAACCAATACTCTGGGAACCAAATAACCCCGCCCAGCGTTCCATCGAAGGCGACAAAAAACGCCCAAAACAACCAAGGCCTTTACCAAAGCCAGGGGAGAAAGGACAGGCCCCGAACGATCACGAACCTTGTCGATGCCCTCGAATCCTGTAGGATCCAAGGTGACGAACGCCCATCTCAACCAAGTTCCCCACCAAAGCCAAACGGGAGACATAACAAGCTCCGAATGCGAGTCTTGACAAGCCTCCTTGATCTCCAAGGTCTAAAACAAAACGAACAAGGGGAAAAAGGAAAAGTTCCAACGGACAATTGCCGGGGCATGACATACATACCTCGTTGATTTCCTTCAAGACCTTTCCGGCCTCGACCTTGACGTCCTCCCCGTGCATCATCCAGGACATCATCCAGCTCATTGCCCGCTGCAGCAGCGGGGTTGCCGGCTGGACCTTCATCATCATGCGCATTGGCAGCGGGAACATCGGCCCAGCCTCCGTCTTCGAGACAAACCTGTGGGCATCAGCAAGTCGAAAGAAACAAAGACGAACAATCAACCTATGCCAAACACACACGGTCGGGTCGCGCTTCACCTCAAAACGCGTGAGAGCGATCTACTGCTGTTCAGGTAGCACCAGCGGAGGCGTGATCGTGGTGGTGGTGGTGGCCCGGGGGCATTGGAATGCACCTTTAGGCCTATTCAATACATCCATGCGGGGGCATGTATAGCCATTACTGCTTCCCCTTGCCGTTCAACCCTTGTTCGTGAGCCGTTACCCGCGGTGCGGAGGGTGAAAACGTAAACACTTCGACCAACTAACAATCGCCTTGGGCGCATCTCTACGAACGAACATGGTATCCCACAATGACTCACGTGTCCACGACGCGGTTGAGGATGTCGAACAGCATGGCCGTCCCCACAACCTCCGGCAATTGCTCCGGCTGAGGGAAGAACCACGGGCAAGAACGAGGATGAAAAAAGGGGCGGAGACTGTCCGGCGTTAAGACACGTTCAATCGATCATCCGTTGAAGGGCAACAATCACAGAAAAAACTCGGTCGAAAGGGGCGTGTGATTCATCGGAAGGCATGCAAAGGTGGATGTGCAGGCAAGGTCGAAAATAAGCGTGAGTTTTAGCAATAACACCAATGCCACGGAAGCATACAATGGTATTGTTGTGTGGGTAATTCTCCCAATATTTTCGGAATCCGACTCGTCTTTCTCCTCTTGTCCCCTCTCTACTTACGTCCTTCACGGTTCCCCGCTACTCACGGTGCAGGGAGCAGCCTGTTCCTTCCCATCCCGGTGCCTGATCGACCAAGATGCCAGCGTGTTGTTGCTCATCGGGTCTTGACCCTCCCCCACGGGGAACGCGGCGTCGGCGTCTTGAGTCTGGTAGAAGAGCCGCAGACTGTCGAAGTCCACGTCGTCACCGGCCGCGGGACCCATGGCCGTGTGGATGTACGCGCAGTGGGGGCATCCGTTGGAGAGAGAAACGCCGAGGGCGATCACTTCCTTTTGGCTTCGGGAGAGCTGCATACATAGGGGTTCAAGGCGTGGAGAAAGGTCCGAGCGCTGATGAAAGGGGGCCGTTGGCTTCGTGACATCCCATATTGCTCGATACAGTCCGGAGTGCGAAGGTAGTGGAAAGAATTATCGCGGGAGCGAGACAAAGCGTCGAAGGAGCGCGCGATGACAGCATATTGCCCACGAGAATGAATTGTGCGTGTGCACTTGCAGAACCGTTGCAGGAGCAAATAGTTCAATGTAGAGGTCGCCCAACGTACCCTCTCCAGGTGAAACAATGACCGCTCTGAGTGCCGGGGACGTTTGTTTCCTACCCTGCTGGAAGCACCAAAAGTCTCATTTTTCTGCCAGCCACAGGTGCCTTGACAATATGTGCAAAAGAATTACAGTTTTTGTTTGTTTTTGTTTATCTCCCATCATTGGACTCTGCCGTCTGCCCCTCTGGCCCCTATCCTCCACTTCTACTGGCTAGACGACCCAACCGGGGTCACATAGGAGGGGGGGGTTGGACCCCCCTCCTGCGGTTCATGCCTGAGGTATTTTTATCGCGAGAAGGGTACAGCAATCCCTTCCCTCGCGACTTGCGAAGTCGATTATGGTTTACTAACAAACGAGCTCTGCAGCGCGTCGCTTTCATCCTAGACCAGGATTTATTCAGTGAGAAAAAAACTCTCCCTGCCGGGACTCGAACCCATGACCTGGTCCTTAGCAGGCTGCGAGGCTACCCACTAGACCACCGGGGCGACCGGTGTGTGTAGATGGTTGTTGGCAAGTCTTGCAGCAAGTATACCTGCAGCTCACAAAAGTCTGACGTAGTACGTAGCATCCACACCGAATTATGTTCCGTTAGGTTTCGTGCCCCGACGGGCGTGTGCTTATTTTTGGCATCGACCGCGCCAAGCGGCTGACCAATGAAAAAAAGCCAGTCTTAGTGCGGTTGAAAACTCAAAACACATCACATACCATTAGCTGGGACCCCGTGAGGGGGTGGCATGGGAGATATTAGTCTATTCTCCTGATCAAAGACAGAAACGGTAGCAACAGAAGAAAACTATACACGTCTACGAAAGCTGCTACCTTCCACTGAGTAGTTCGTTTCGGAGTGCTTTGACCATCATCCTCCTTGTTGTCACTGCTACCATCATTCTCATCATGCTACCAGCAATTCTTTGGAATTTTTCTCCTCTGGCCCTGCGACTTTTGTTGTCGGGAAGGTCATCAGGATCGAAGCTCTTGCTCTCTTCCACGCCATGATGCCCTTCTCGACTCTCTGTCTCGTCCTCCTCCCGTTCGCTCTTCTCCCCCTCCATCGCTGCCAAACGAAGTCCCCGCATTGCCATCCTGGTCCTTTCTATCTGCACTACTACCGAGATCCCAACCTATTGGCCGTGGTCAGAACTGGTCAATAAGTAGTCCATGACGTTTGAACATATTGCGAGTTCGTACGGATAGAAAACGAGCCAACTCGTACGAAAACCGTCTCCGAATCCTATGAATGACAAGCTTTTTGGCGAAGCCGTGTGTGTCTGGCTGTGTCTGTGTGTGTCTTTACTAGTAGCACCGACCGCGCTAACCTGCTGACCAACGAAATACGTCAGTGTATGTGCTTTATTATTAGCATCGACCGCGCCAACCGGCTCACCAATGACAAGACGTCAGTCCTACAGTAGTACGATTGAAAAGCCAACACACTTCTAAATGCCATTTTGTGGGACACCGTGAGGGGCCGACATGGGGCGTGTTCTCACAGTCGTGCATGCCGTCGTTAGACCATTGGCCTCGCATCCCTACAAGCCGGGACGGAGCACGCCGGGTTCCGGACCAGGCCCTCACATCACCAAGCGCGAACCGCCGTGAGGTATTCGGCGAGCCGCATGAAGGGTACGCTGCATTCTGCTAAGTGTGTTCGGCATCTTGTGCATACTTCCTTGCGTACAGATGACAGCCGCGTACGACTTAATTTATTTTCTGGTGCTTTCACTTCCAGAGACAGTTGTAAGCACTGTAACTGCCTGGAGGGTGCTTGACTATTTTATTATAGCACAACGTGGTGCGATCATCTCCCTTGCGCGGAGTGAGGGTTCTCGACCCCGCACAACATGATCTACTCGACCACCATTCATGGTTACCGCAAAAAACAGAACAGAGGTAAACAAAAAACGGTAACCTGGTTGCCGAGTTCACGAAGTGTATTGGCTTGTTTTACAACGTCTTTGCCAAGCGACGAAATCCCAATCCCGATGGCAAACACCGGGGGGGG